GGCCCGCCCGCCCCGCTCCGCAGGGGCAGGGGGGAGGGGACGAAGCCGCCCGCCGCCATTTTGCTTGTGGGCTGCCGCCCGCCGACTCCCTCTCCACCGAGGCGCGCAGATAACGCTCCGGAGGCTGTGGAAGGCCGGAATCTCCGTCTTTTTTCCCCCCACAACACAAGCACTCAACAAGTCACCGAAGGTTTTGGGGGAAGGCTGGGGTCGGAAGTCTCGGCGTGCGGGGGCAGGGGGAGGTTGGCTCTTTACCGGTCCTCCCCGGTCTGGAGAGAGGCGAGCTTGGGCCCAAGGCCACTAGTAGGTGGACGGAGGTCAGCAGGGCCCGGGAACGATCGACCCCCCCTTTCCCATGGCCCCCTTCAAGTGAGGCGTCCGTTCCCACCCTCGAGCAGCCTCCGTTCCGGTCGTCCCCGCCCCCGCCCCGTCCCAGGCTGGCCTCCGGCGCGGGGTGAGCCCGGCTAGGGTGTCACTCGACGCCCACTAGGGGCCGAAGGAAGCTCCAGTGCGCAGGCTCCGGGCTTCGGATAAAAGCGGGGCTGGCGCGCTCCCCGCCATCTCGATGGAGGAACGAGAAACGGAAGAGACCGGGGGAGGGGGGGGAAGCAGCGGAACAACAACAAAAAAAGCCGCCGCCACCAGGCACCGCCGCCTCCCTGCCACCGTTTATCGGGGTAAAAGCTGCCGTTGCCGTCGCAGGCTCCTAGGCTTGGCCCTGCTGCGGGACAATGCGGGGAGGGGAACGGGAATTCCTTTATGTGATTCCACGAGGGAGGGGGTAGAGAGCCGGTTAGTGCTGAGAGAAAAGGGAGAGGCGAGAGAGTAGGGCAAGGGTTTCCAACCCCCCCCCCGCCCCGAAGAATGACACAGCAGTTACGGCCTTGATATTTTTGGGGTGTGGGGGGGGTGTTATCCCCCGAAATGGCGGTTTCCGTCTTCATGCCCCAGCGCGACCCGGGGGCGCTGGGTAAGCCGAGTGAGGAGAGGCAGAGGCGGCGTCGGCAGCCAATCGGCGCCCGCTGTGTTCCGTCGGGCGCGTTGTGATTGGCTGGTGATGACCTCATGCTGCAGCAGCGGGTGGGGCCCTGGCGTCGGGGGAGGCTGTTGCAAAGGCAGTGAGGGAGAAGTGACGAAGGTGATGGTTGCCGCCGCGGCCGGTCTGGAACTCATGCAGTGGCGAAGGAGATCGCAAAGGCTTCCTCCCTGACCACTTTCTCCTGTCCCTGCGCGAGGTGAGGGCCCCCGGCTCGGCCTCTGCGAGACTTTTTGGGGCGCTGGCGCGGCTGAGGAGACACAATCTCCCCTGTGACTTTTTGTAACTGCGTCAGGGCAAGATGGCGCTGGGTCTCCTTGGGGCGCGGGGGGAGAGGCACGTCCACCGCCGCCGCAGCGCATGTGACCGGCCGCATTCCTGTGGGGTTTGGCTCCGACCCAGGCTGGGGCGGGGGAGGGGACGGGGCCGGGGCGGAGGAGACTGTGGTGCGGTCGGCGTTGGCGGCCCGAAGAGGAAGAGATGACTGTTTGGAAAGCGCCTCCCCTCCCCCGATGGCGGACCGGCCGCGCCGGGGGGGGGGGGGGGGGGGGGGGGGGGGGGGGGGGGGGGGGGGGAGGGGGGAGAGAGGGGGGGAGGGGGGAGGGAGGGAAGTCCCTGGAGGAACGCTGAAGTTGGGGTGTGACGGCCGTGTGTGGGGGAGAAGATTTGGCGCCCTATTTTCTTATCTGCCCTTTCTCCTCGCGAAGTGTAGTTACGTAAGGCGGCAGGTCCTTCCTCGGGGAATGGCAGTCGTTCGGTGTGAGACCCCGAGGGCCACCGGGCTGCCGGCGGGGCGGGGGGGGGGGGGATACAGGCCTGCGTCTCGGACTGTCTCCACATTCCCAAAGCTTGGGAGCAAGTGTAAAGGTGTGACTAACACTCAAGGACACTTTTAATTTCCCAGAAGATATGAGCAGCCAAGATGTATGTCATCAGAACCTGAGGGCCCTCTTCAGACTTGCTATCCCTTTGGTGCTTCTGCGCTTTCTTCCAGTAACTGACCCTGGTCTGCACATCCTGTAAGAATGTGTAATCTTAGCGGTGGGGTTTGCCTTTTTGTTTCCTTTTCTAAAATAGAAGCATCGTTAGTAATACGGAATAAAAGCTTGCTAGTGTTTCAGCCTGTATGAAATTGTAAGGTTTTCTTGTTACCTTTCTGACACCCTTATGGATGTTTTGAAATAAAAGATGAACTCATGGGCATTTGTGGTAAATATTCATTAAGGTCCCTTGTACATAAAATGTTAAAGACTACCTCTTCTGTACTAGTGTGAAAACTTTACTTTTAGTATTTGTCGGGGCGGGGGGGATTTATAAAAGGGTCTGTGCAGCTGTGTATCTCAGTTTGGCCTTTGCCACAGGCTCCCTAATGGAATAACAGGCTTGAGCCAGCAACCCTCACTGTCTTCCTTTTTGACAAAACACGTAAGTGCTAGGAGGAAGTCCGTTACTGAGACAAAACAGTGACTTTAATATGGGATCAAGGTTGGTAATTAGTTTTATTTATGGATTCTTGTTACTTTAAAAACAAAATGTGATTTTTGCATTCATTTGTGGAGCTTTCCGTCTTTTTACTCGTTTTGAACTGTTTTTTTTTCTAGATGTTAAATAATGTAAACTGAAAAAACAGTAATTGTAAATAATTAGTGCAAGGATCTAACAACTTGAGGGCTTTTTTTTTTCCTTGTTCACAACTACCAAAATATGTGTAAGACCGGGGAATCACTTGAAGTTACTTATTTCCTTTCTCATTCTTTCCTTCTTTTCCTCTCCTTCCTTCCTTCCTTTCTTTCCTTCTTCTTTCCTCCTTCCTTCCTTTCCCTCCCTCCCCCCTCTCCCCTCTCTCTCTCTCTCTTTCTTTCTTTTCTTTTCTTTCTTTCTTTCTCCAGTCTTGGGGCTTGAACTCTGGCTCTGGGTACCGTTCCTGAGCTTATTTTGCTCAAGCCTAGGAAACACTATCACTTGAGCCACAGTGCCACTTCCAGCTTTTTCTGTTTATGTGATACTGAGGAGGAATTGAACCCAAGGCTTCATGCATGCTAGGCAAGCATTTTACCACTAAGCCGCATTCCTAGCTGAGGTTACTTATTTTCTATGTGTAGCACTCTGTCCTCAGTGTAATTTTTCTTTCAGGACTAAAAAAGCCAGTAGATTACAATTTTCAGAATTTCCCTAACTTCATTGTGTCTTAAGAAAAAGGCTATTTTCTAATCTAATTAGAAACATCCTTTAGTTTGTGCTTTTAATAAACAACAAGCTTCCTTGCTACTCTGAAATTTAAAAGCTCTTTGTTTTTCTTGCCTTTTCTATGGCATTTAAATAATGCCTAGGATTATTTTTGTCTTCTTTCATTTTATATTCTCCTTGGGCACTATCATTTGTGCCTGTTTTCCCATTAGCTCCAGTTTAACCCTCTTGCCTCAAGTATGGTATTAAGATTTGCAGTGGGGAAGGAGGCATAGGGTATGAGCTTACAAGCTCATAGAAATACCAACCTTTGGTATATGATGGGTAAGAGCTTCCCTCATTCTGTCGAAGGTTGAGTAAATATATTCAATCGTTTCTTCTAATATTAAAGGAACCAACTTGCTATGGCCGAAGTTTGGGGTTTTGGTTCCCCCCCCCCTTTGTTAGTACTAGTAGTATTTTTGTTTTGGTTTTTGTTCTGGTCATGGGCCTGGGCCCTGGGGGTCCCTAAGCTTTTTTGATCATAGCTAGTGCTGTATTACTGGAATCACAGAATCACTTTCAGATTTTTGTTTTGGGGCAGCTTTACTGCCCAGTGCCCAGGCTGACTTGAAACCATGATTTCAGCCTCCCAAATCGCTAGGATTACAGACTTGGACACTGGTGACCAGCTCCTTGAGTTTAAACTCTGCATCAAATGTAATCAGCAGGTGCTCCACTACTTGAGCCATGCCTCTGGCAAGTTTTGCTTTAGTTATAATATGGGTAGGGTTGGATTTAGCTTCTCGTATTTCCTCCCTCATAGGATTACCACAAGCCACCACTCCTGTTGATTGAGAGTTTCTCCCAGCTTTGCCTAGACTCCAGTTCTCCATCTATAGATAACTGTTTATAGACATGAGCCACTGCAGTGCCCTACAAGTTTGGGTTTTGTCTTTTGGTGTTAATTATTTACCATTAGGACTGTAATGTATCAGAATTGTCATTTCAATAACGGCTAATTAACGTATATATTATGAAACTGAAGTAACTACCTACAGGTGGAGTTGAAACATTGATTACCCATTGTCAGCTCCTAGAGTATTTCTGTTTTTTAATAGTTCTGTATGTGTTTATCATCTCACATTATTTCTGAAACTCACATTAAAGGTGAGAGAACACTCTGGCTTAACATGTGACTCATTGGATTTTGTTTTTGTATAAAATTTTCCTTTTTGTTCCACCCACAACCCTGACATTTAGTGTCTTGTAATTACAGAACAATGAAAAGATTCATTTCTGAGAATGGTTTGAACTGAAGTCATTAGATATACTTTAAGTTTAAATACACATGTCCTGATTAACTTCTTGGAAAATGAATTAGATGTTAGCTCCCTCAACCCCTGCCCTAGCAAAGATGTTTTCAGTGTAACTGCAGTGCATATTTGTAGATAATGCTTTAAAAATAGTATTAAAAGTTTCTGAATGCCTTGAATAACTGGTTGTTTTTCCAAAAAACATTTTGCAAGTTTCTTGTCCTCTGCTGTTTAATTCAAATTTGAAACAGCTTTCCTCTGGAAATGAGAGGCAATAATATGCTACTTCTGCTTACTCAGGGGTACAGAAACTGTTTTCTGCCAAAGACCATTTGGAT